TAACACTGCGTACAGTCGACAAACTGTAAATATAATTTAACAGTATGTTTAACATGAAGACGAGCAGCTATCAGCTGTCATTGTCTCCAAATCACTATCAAGATTTTCAGGAACGATAAGAATCTGTACCGACGTAGCGAGCGGATAGCGGTCGGGATGTGGGAGAATCTCTTATAGAAAGTGGACGTGTTGTGGTTCACTGGGAAATACGTAAAGATGTGGAAGCAAACAGCTCTCTGACTGTTTCATGTGGACTTTTAACAGCGAACATAAATAACGTATATTTTACGAACCCTTTGTGTCATTGTAATATTGTGTTTTCCTTTTATTTATGTGCTTAATGGGCTGTTATGAGTGACATGAACAATACCTTATTATGTATTTATGGTTTGTTGTTGAATCTTTGTCTTATTTACTGTGTTACAATGACATGTTAACAAGGTTTTAACCATTTTAACTCTATTTCACAGCTCACCTGAACATTAGCTGTGGCTGATTTTCTTTCCAGCGTTTTTCACAGTAACGTCAAACTTCTGTCGCAATAAACCCTCCAGTTTACCTTTAATTCGCAGAGAACGAAGCAGCTCTTGGTGAGAATGGGATGAAATCTGTGAGTGAACTCTCTGAGCTGGAGAGCCGCCACTGTGAGGGTACGCCACCCCCCCCCGACCTGCACTCCTCATGCTTAAAAACACCAAAGATTACCTTCATTTAATATGTTTGATTGCAAGTAATTTCTCCTCTTTTACAAGATACTTTTATTTAGTTTTAGAGATATAACCAGAGACAAGCTTCATCTTGCAGTTTCTTTATTATTTTCTCTCTTACTCTAACCCGCCTTGCTATTGTGTGCTTTAAACCTGCTCATTTGCCTGATATTTATAGCCACGTAGCTGCTGTCAACGTGCAATAAGAGCCTATTATCCCCCTCCTTGAATCAGCACTTGTATCGTGGAGGCCTAACATGGAAAAGAATGGCTCTCTGTGCCTGTAACAATTAGCCTGCAGTAGCTCCACTCCAGTCTGGGTCGAGCTCGCTTTGATCATAAATACTGACAGTGACAGATGATAGTGGAAACAAAAAAGGGAGGTCATCAGGGGTTTAAGAAATACCACAATTCGGGAATTAGGGTTGAGCGGCTCCTGTTTCCTGACTGACCGACCTCCGTTTGTCCTACAGCGGAGACGTGTGCAGAGAAAGGCGGCGTTGAAGCTCAGCCCTCGGGGATAGAGAGCGCCTCGCATGATGGCGAGGGGCAGCTCGGTACGCCACCGGCCCTTTTGAGCTCTTTTTTCAGCTGCTTGTGCTTTCAGTTGTTTTTCTTCTAGCATCTTTAAAACGTATCAGTTGGGGGAAACAGTCAGGTTAGCTTAGCTTAGCATAAAGACTGTAAACGAGGGGAAACAGCTAGCCTCTGTCCGCCTACCGGAACGTCTGAAACTCAAACAATTTAAGTGTGAAAGAGTATTTATTTTAAGGTAACTATGGCAAATTAAGTGAACTTTACCCAATTCTACTCAGTTAATTGAACTTAAAATAAGTAAGTAAATTAAACACATATGCAGAATTTCTCCAAACTTATTTAAAATGTGTTAACAGAAGTTTTTTAATCTTTATATATTTTACTAATTAATGTCGAATTTTGTTAGTTTTCTAAAGCAAATTATTACATTACCTGTCAAAGCAGCTGATGTAAGATAAAAACAAATTATAAGTATATAAGTATAAGTATATTATCCTACTTTTTATGTGACTAATATTAAGAATTGATGCATTCTTTGACGTATGATGATTTATAAACTTAAATAAGATATATTATATATAATTAAAATTGTAAAAATAACGATATTAAGATCAACTTATCGTCTTGTCGTCGTCTTGAGTTGTTTTTCACACTTTGGTTTTATAACACAGGTTACACAAACACAGTATAACGTGTTAATTCGAGAGCTTTAGCCAGGCTAGCTGTTTCCCTCTGCTTCCAGTCTTTGTGCTAAGCTAAGCTAACCGACTAGCTGGTTGTAGCCGCCGTACTCGTTGCAAGAAAGCACATAAGTGTATTTCCCAAAATGCTCTTTTATTCCTTCTTTTATGTCCTAGTTTTATGACTAAAGCGTCCTGCTGCTCTCGTGTTTTTGTCCTGATTATAAAATTAAGCTCACTATCTTTTTCTTTCAGCATCATTATTGGAAAACTGTTGTTGTTGTGCTGTTTTTGGGTTTGTTCTGTGGCTTCGTTCTTGTTTCTTTATGCTTCCTCTGATGGTTAAAACTCTGCTCCTTTCAGAACTGAAACATGATCATAAGCAGACTCAAACATGTCCCTTTTTCTTTAAAAACAAACCAAAAAAGACATCCTGGCTATTTCAGAGTGAAGGTTATGGCCAAACCACAGGCAGATTTAAGACTCCTGTGATCTGTTGAACAGATGCTCCCAGTCGTTGGGGAACGCCAGAATAATGTTAAAAACAGCTGAAGCACCAGTTTAGGTGTGGTACTGCTGCACCATCTCAGACGTTTTGCATATTCACCCCCTGTTTTCTATATATTTAACAGTTATTTGCTATATTTGTGGGCTGTGTGTGGGCTTCGTATTGATTTCTTTGCAGCGAGTGAGTGTATTAATCCGCCGTGATTGATAGAAAGTCATTACTGATCGAGCTCTAATGTGTCTTTTTCCATCTGTCTCATCATGTTCAACCAGCAGCAGGAGGAGCAGCTTCAACAGGTAGGCTGTTTAATGTTTTATTGATCGCACTTAGACTGAATTTATTTACTGCAGGAGACAGATATGAACACACTTATATCTCCAGGTGGACCCAGAGAGGAAGAAGCTGTTTGATATGTGATAATTATTGATAGATTTATCATATATTGCTGCTATTGTATTACACAGTCTGGATTGTGCCACCTGAAGGATAAAAAAATAAACTATTACAGGGTTTAATTAGAACAAATGAATAAATTAAACAATTTAAATAGGTAATTTTAGCTTTATTAATTACTTTTCGCAGTTAAATGATGTATTGATAAACTAAAAGTAAAAAAATATATATAAAAAGATCATTATATATATAATAAAATAATTAATTTTAATTACAATTAGCATTATTATTCATTAAAAGTCATGTTTGTGTCCACCTGATGAAGTCCATTATCAGGGTTAACATTAAACACTTATTAAATGTCTTTAAAGTGAAGCGATCATGAAATAGAAACAACAATTAAAGTAGGTAACCAATATAATTTATGCAGGATGAGGACATATAATTATTACTTTAATAAACTGAATAATGCAGTTTATTAATGCATCATTTAAATGCTAAATAAACAATAGTAACATATTGTGGCGTCACACTCCAGACTCACTGTATAGATTTCTTTTAATATTCTCTTAATATTTTGCTTTATTACTGTAAAAAGTTCATTAAAAAACTTCTTTGGGGGGATGAATTATTTTACAGTCAGACGGAGTTCAGGGAGACTTTATAACATATTTTAATCACTTTTTTAAATATAAAAATAGACATTTTAGTGGTCTGTTGTTCATTACGTTCACTGGAATGCATCATCTGTTGTCTGTCACCCCAGTGTGATGCATTAACATCCATTTTCCATCTCATTTTATTTTCATGTGGGCTTTTTTCCACCACTGATCTCGTCTCTTGCATCTTCACGTTTTATAGCTCTCTGGTTGTTTTTTCTGGTTAATGGAATAGTCTCTTTTTATCTTCCTCCATGGATATCAAGTGCCCAGTTCTGTTAACATTTGAAATTATTATAATTTTTTTGGGTTTCAATGGGGAGATGGAAAACCAGTGCTGTGAATGTCATCATTAATCTGCTTTCCAAACAAATTAGCAAAGCCTGGTTCTGAAGCCGGCAGTGAGTTTGCGGGCGACGGATCAAAGCCTGCTGTAGACGGAGCCGCTGGGGAGGGCGTTGACTTCATGGGAGCTTCCTGCTCCCCGGACCCAGGAAACGAGGCGGTGGGAGAGTGTGGGAAGAGGCTGAGTGAGTCTTTATGGGCCTCTGAAGACCTCAGCTGTAGGTCAGAGATAAGAGAGGACGTACCGGCCGGCAGGGGGAGCCCTGAGTGGACTGGAGCTGTGGACCCTCAGAGGGCGATCAGCCTGGACGCCTCCGAGTGCCTGGCGGAAATTAGCAATCTGTCTCTAGTTCGCAGCATGGCTCTGGAGGACCTGACGTCCATCGGAGACAAACGCTCGTGGGTCAGTCAGGGAGAGGAGATCGTCTCTGAACAAACAGCAGCTCTGAAGTCCAGCAGCCCAGAAACACAACAGCCCCCTTACACCCAAAGTCTGCCACAGCCTAACTTTGATTCTCCTTCAGAGGATCTTCGTAGCAGTAGGGACGTTTCTGAGAAGGATAGCCTTTTTACTGAAATGCCATCTGGCTCGACCACTGAAAACAGTGACTCATCCTTACGTAGGGCCGGCTGTTCAAAGCCCGACATTTCTAATGACTCAGACATGGGGAGCAATGTGGCTCAGACCACCGGTACCGCTGAGCTCCAGAAAACACCCCCCCAGCCAGCCAGAAAGTCTATGGTGCCGGTTCCTATTTTCAAAGGTCTGTTTGCTGTCATATTCACCAAGTTCAGAGTCCTCTTCAGTTAACTCCTTCCACTTCTTTCATTTACAACGCAGCTTCTACCGTATGCTATGCTGCACTCTCCCTCCGAATTCTTTCTATGGACGTTAAACTTTGACCCGAGGAGAAGCTTGTTGTCCTCCCTCCCCACATTTAGCTTTTTGTTTCATCTCTCCATCTCTGCTCACTCTGCTGGTTATGCAGCCCAACCCCCCTCTTCCCCTCCAAAATAAAAGCCACTGTTTTTGTTTTGTCCCGAGAGCACTTACTTTGTGTCACCGTGCATGCTGCATCACCCCATCACCAAGAGTTTTTTTATTGTGTTTTCTTTGCCGTGAGAATGTGTTTAGGCACACACTTGGAGGTAAAAGTTAACCTACTTCACTTGGGTGGACGTAAAGTAGAAATTAGAGACATTGAACTTAAAATAATTGGGTCAGAATTTAAAGTCTGCCTCTCTCTTCTGTCTGCAGCTCAAGCAAAGATGGATAACGGCTCTGCAGATAAGGTATGTGACCAAGAACATTATTAAAGGTGCGTCATCCATTTCTTTTATTAAAGGGATCATTCTGCTTTATTACATCTTGGAAGATATTTTTCTATATTTTCTATCAGTGATTTTGTGTTGTTGAGATCTGAAGAAACAGAATCAGGTTGTAAAATAAATATCCAGGTTATTATTCAGAAGAGAAAACGAAGACAAATTAAAGCCCAAACTCTGCATATGACCATTAACAGTGTATAATTAGTGGCTCTTTGAAGTTAAAGCCAACATTGAAATATCTTAAGCCTGCATTCTGTGTAATGGCCAGCAGGGGGCAGCTCCCTAGGTTGCGATAGAAACCGATACCATACAGTCTTAAATTCAGGCAACAGCTGTCCAAGCCGCAGTGCGATTTTCGGCACGATCCAGACACCTACTAACCGAGCCCAAGCAAGATATACTCTCATAACACAGCCGCCCCGAGACTCCCAAAACAGGCGTGAGAGTTGGAAGAGCTATAAAGTCTTAGGGCGCTCTGGAAAAGCCTACAGATGACTCAAATTAAGAACAAGGAACTACCCCACGGTGGAGCATGATCGGACTGGAGCATTGCACCCTCAGCCAACTCATCCCTGAACGCCACTCAGAGATGCCCTGGCAGCAAGGGACAACTCCGCTCTACCTCGCCATGTCATGGAAGGACCTGACGTCTGCACTCGAAGACAAACCCCTCGTCGAGTACGTCACGAGAGAGACTCTCTGAACAAACAGCACTCGAACTCCACAGCCAGAACAACACAGCAAGCCATTACACACCAAAGCTCTCACAGCCTACCTATATGATTCTCCTTCTCAGAGACGTTCGTCAGCATAGTACGTTTCTGAAAGAACGCGCTATCTCTACCTGAAATGCCATCGGCTGACCACCTGAAACACAGGTATCCTTACTACCCCGGCTGAATAAAAGCACATCTCCTAATACTCAGAAAGGAGAGGGAGCAATGTTCGCACACCGTACACCATGCATGCTGCTGAGCTCCAGACAAAACACCTCCCCCATGCAAGCCAGAAAAGTCTATGTCCCGGTCTTTCATATCAAAGTCGGTGCCTGCGTCTATCCACCAGTTCAGAGTCCTCTTCGTTAACCTTCACATCTCTTCATTCACACCAGCCTTCGACACGTCTGAACTGCTAGCGCACTCTCCCACTCACGACACTCGCTATCTATTGGAACTTAAACCTGACCGAGAAAGATGTTGTCCCTCCCCCCTCACAGTCCTGTATGAGCATCTTTGTCAATTCTGCCCATCTCTCTCACCTTCGGATCGCCCAACCCCCCTTTCCTCCAAAATAAAAGCCCACTGATTTTGTTTCTATCCCAAGCACTAATACGTAGGTGTCACCCGGTGCATGCTGCCAATCACCCCGATTCCACCAAGATAATTTTTTTATTGCTGGTGTCTTGCGTGAAATTGTGTTTAGGCACACACTTGAGAAACAGTTACAACCTAACTCACTTGGGTGACGTAAAACGAAACTTAGAGACAATTGACTTAACAATACCATGGCGTCATGAATTTAAAGCTGCCTCCTCTTCTCGCAGCATCGAAAGCATAATGGAAACGCGCCTCTCGATAAGGATGTTACCAAACGACATTATATGAGGTGCTTCACTCCATTCCATTTTTAACAGGGATCATTCTGCTTTATATCACATCTTGAAGATATCTTCTTTCGTACTATTCCGTTTCATCAGTATTGTGTCTTGAGCTGACAGAAACAGAAAAGTCAGGTTTGAAAAATAAAGTACTCCAGAGTTAAAATATTATTCCTAGAAGATAAAATACGAAAGACAACATTACAGCCCAAACTCTCAACTATGAACCATTATAATCAGTCGTACTACTCTATTTACTAGTGGCCCATCTGAAGTTAAAAGCCAACAGTTGAAATATTTAACCCATTCCGCATGTAAACTGTCCAGCAGGGGCACTCCTAGCTTTGCAAAACGACATACCAGATACCATAGGCACACACAGTACCTTGATAGAAACAACATCATAATCTCAACAAAACGATGCGAAAAAAAAGGGGAGAGATATTCCCCGTATGGTATCCGTTTCTATCGCAACCTACAGGAGCTCCCCCCCTGCTGGCATTTTCACACCAGAAGCAGCTAAGATATTTCAATGCTGGTCTTAACACAAAAGAGCCACTAATTAATACACTGTCATTCCATATGCAAGTATTTGTGGCTTTAAATTGTCATCGTATTTCTCTTCCGAATAATACCTGATACTATTTGACAACTTGAATCTGGTTCTCAATCCAACCAACACAAATCACTCGATAAAGAAAATATAAGGGAAAAAATATCTTCCAAGATAATATAACAGAGAACAACCTTCTAAATAAAAAAATCTGGAGACGCACCTATAATAAATGGTATCTTGGAGGACACATACCATGTATGGCAGCCGTTTTTTATACCATCTATGCTTCACTGCAGACAAGAGAGAGCAGACTATTAAATTCTGACCAATTATTTTAAGTGCTCAATGTCTCTAATCTTCGACTACCCACCCAAGGAAGTATTAACTTTTACCTCCAAGTGTTGCCTCAAACAACATCGCACGGCAAAGAAAACACCAATAAATCTAAAACTCTTGGATGGGGGATGCAGCAAGCACGACACAAAGAATGTCTCTCGCGAAACAAAACAAAAACAGTGCTTGTTTTGAGGGAAAGGGGGCTGGAGCATGCAAACCAGGCATGAGAAGAGGAGATGAAACAAAAGCTAAAATATGGGGGAGGGAGAAACAGCCTCTCCTCCGGGTCAAATTAACGTCATAAAAAGAAATCTGCGGTAGAGAAGTCACATAGCAATCACCGAGACAGAACCGTGTAAATGAAAGAATGACCAGGATTAACGAAAGAGGATCTGAACTTGGTGAAATGAAGACGCAAACAGACCTTTGAAAATAGGAACCGCACCATAGACCTAACGCGGCGGGGGGGGCATGTATTTCTGAAGGCCCTCAGCGATACACAGGTGTTACCACATTGCCTGTCCCTAATCCTCAATGAATCATTCTATGAAAAGTCGTGGCTTGTGAAACAGCCGGCCCTACGTAGAGATGAGTCAACGCGTCAGTGCGACGCCAGAGGCATTCAGTAAAACAGGGCGCATCCTCTCTCAGAAACTCCTAACTTCTACGAACCTCTGACAGGAGATCAAAGTTGGCTGCTGGCGACTTGGTGTAACCGGGGCGCCGTTTGTTTCGGCCTTGCTGACTTCCAGCAGTGCCGTTTGTTCAGAGACCATCCCTCTCCCTGACTGACCACGACGCTTGTTCTCGATTGACGTCAGTCCCCTCCAGAGCCATGCTCGAACTGAGCACACGCAATATGCTCAATTCGCAGCAGTTCCGGAGCTCCAGCTGACGACGCTCGCCTGAGCGGCCGACGACTCCAGCTCCACCTCAGGCTCCCTGCCGGCGGCGTACTCCCTCTTAGTTCTGACCTACAAGCGAGTCTCAGAAGCCATAAAACCCACCCCGTCAGCTTTGCCCCCACACGCTCCACTCGCCCTTTCTGGGTCCGGGCACGGAACCCCACTGAAGTCAACGCCGCTCCCCAGGCAGCCCCGTCTAAACATGCTTGATCGTCGCCGCAAACACTAAACTGCCGGCTTCAGAACCAGGTTGCAATTT